TTTGTTTGCTTGTACACATCTAACCTACTCGCTAATTACACAGGTGAGAATGCCCGCAGGGACGATTGTTTGTCACGGCCGTTTAATAGATACTTTAACAATTAATTTTGTACATTTGGGCCGACATTCAGTGGCCGCTGGCCGCGATATAAAATAGTCGTTTAATGGAATTAAATTAAATAGTAAAAATCATCGGGAGGGATTTTATGCGACCGCTTAATAAAAAAGTCGCTTAATAAAGGTGGCCGCAAGTACGATGCCGACTGTATAAAAAATAGATAAACAAAACTAATGTGACAAGACAGACGGATTAAATTTATAAAAAGGAAATGTTAAGATTTGTTCAAACCTTTCTTTGTTTGCTTTTAGAAAAAGTAAAAAGTCGAGCGTTGCCCCCGCCCGGCAGTGGCTCTTGTTTAAGTTTAAATTGATAGGGCTTGCACTTATACTTGGATAGTTTGCTGGTATTGAAATTTTTTTCTTTGATGTTGACTGAATTTCTTTTTATTTTTAGCTCACCTGAGCTAGCTAAGGAAGAGATTTTAGGATAGTTTAATGTCCATTGTCCATCCACATTTGTTTGTTAACACTCTAGCCGTCACATTTTTGACTCAATTGTCATCAAACTTGCTTGTCTAGGTAATTGCTCGGATGAATTTGAACATGGGTCATCTCAGATGAAAATCTAGGTCACAGGAGCTAAAAAATAGAAAAATCTTGTTAACACTCTAGTGGCTACTGTTCCAAATATCCTGGAAATTGGTCTGAAAGTTCGTTTTGATGATTTCTAGGTCAAATTTGAATATGGGTCACCTGGGGTCAAAAACTAGGTCACACTGCCCAAATATGGAAAAACTGGGTTAACACTCTAGTGGTCACATTTTTGACTCCCCTGTCATGAAACTTGGTCAGGATGCTTGTCTAGGTAATTGCTTGGATGTGTTTGACGGGTCAGGTGAGCGATATAGGGCCATCTTGGCCCTCTTGTTTACTGAAATATTCCTGGTCGATTTGATACCCTCCTTTCTTTGCAGCCTTTTTTAGCTCACCTGTCACAAAGTGACTAGGTGAGTTTTGTGATCACAATTCGGCCAGTGTCCGTCCGTCTGTACACTTACTTTAAAGGACATCTCCCTATAAACCGCAAAGCCAATTTCATCCAAACTTCACAGGATTGTTCCTTTGGTGGTCACATTTAAAAAGTGTTCAAAGAAATTAATTCCATGCAGAACTCTGGTTGCTATGGCAACTGAATGAACAAGCTTAAATAATAGTCTTTTTAAAAACTCAAAGAGCTAGAGCTAAGATATTTGGCATGGAACATATTCTAGTGAGTGTCTACCAATTTTGTTATCCCCCGCCGAAAAGGCAGCGGGGGATATAGAAATAGTCTCCGTCCGTCCGTGCGACCTTCAGTCCGTCCGTCCGACATCTTTGTCCGGAGCATGTCTCTAAAAATATTTGAGTTATCAACTTGAATCTTCATAGGTGGATAGACCTCATTGAGGAGGAGTGCAGTGCACAAGAATGATAACTCTACCCTGCATAATTTTTGAGTTATTGTCCTTTGTTTTTTTTCAAAATTGATTTTTTGTCCAGAGCATAACTCAAAAAGCCTTTGAGATATCAAAATGAAACTTCATAGGTGCATAGATCTCACTCAGGAAATGTGCAGTGCACAAGAATGATAACTCTACCTTTCATAATTTTTGAGTTATTGCCCTTTGTTATTTTTCATACCTAATTTTTCACCTGAGTGGAGCATAACTCAAAAGTGTTTGAGATGTCAACATGAAATGTCATAGGTGGATAGATTTTATTGAGGAGGAATGCTGTGCACAAGAATGATAACTCTGCCCTGTACAATTTTTGAGTTATTGCCCTTTGTTCTTTTTCATACTATTTTGTCTGGAGCTTATCTCAAAAAGTATTTGAGGTATCAACTTGAAAACTTCATAGGTGGATGGATCTCATTGAGGAGAGTGCATTGCACAAGAACGTTAACTCTACCCTGCATTATTTTTGAGTTATTGCCCTTTGTTATTTTTCAAAATTAATTTTTGTCCAGAGCATAACTCAAAAAGCCTTTGAGATATCAAAATGAAACTTCATAGGTGCATAGATCTCACTCAGGAGGTGTGCAGTGCACATGAGAATGATAACTCTACCTTTCATAATTTTTGAGTTATTGCCCCTTTGTTATTTTTCATACCTAATTTTTCACCCGTGTGGTGCATAACTTCAAAAGTGTTTGAGATGTCAACATGAAATGTCATAGTTGGATAGATCTTATTGAGGAGGAAATGCTGTTGCACAAGAATGATAACTCTGCCCTGTACAATTTTTGAGTTATTGCCCTTTGTTCTTTTTCATACTATTTTGTCTGGAGCTTATCTCAAAAAGTATTTGAGGTATCAACTTGAAACTTCATAGGTGGATGAATCTCATTGAGGAAGAGTGCAGTGCACAAGAACGTTAACTCTACCCTGCATAATTGTTTAGTTATTGCCCTTTTTTTATTTTTCAAAATTAATTTTTGTCCAGAGCATAACTCAAAAGGCCTTTGAGATATCATTATGAAACTTCATAGGTGCATAGATCTCACTCAGGAGGTGTGCAGTGCATGAGAATGATAACTCTACCTTTTATAATTTTTGAGTTATTGCCCTTTGTTATTTTCATACTTAATTTTTCAATTCAATTTTCTCAAAAAATATTTGAGGTATCAACTTGAAACTTCATAGATGGATAGATTTTACTGAGGAGGGATGCGGCACACAAGAATGATAACCTACCCTGCATTATTTTTCAGTTATTGCCCTTTGTTATTTTCAGCCATCAGTATTCACATAGGTTTCAAATCTGTAATCACTATAGCCATCAGTTTTCATTACCAAAAGACCTCTTAAAATGGAATTATTCTGCTCTACTACATATACATTCTTCCAATGAGCAAACACATTCGGCGGGGGATGGCCATGTTGACATGGCTCTTGTTCAAATAAAAGCCCTGGTGTCAAAATTGGCCCCTCCAGGGGAGAGAAGATATTGATTTTCCTTATATGTATAAAAAGAAAAACTTAAAAAATCTTCTTTGAAAAAACACAAATAGCTATAGCTTAAATATTAAGCATGAAACATCTTCTAGTGCGTGTCTACCAAGTTTGTTCAAATAAAAGCCCTGTGGTCAAAATTGGCCCCGCCCCAGGGGGTTGGTTGTTGATTTTCCTTATTATGTATATAGTGAAAACTTAAAATATCTTCATTTAAAAAAATCCAAAGAGCTAAGGCTTAGATATTTAGCATGAAACATTTTCTAGTGAGTGTCTACCAAAATTTTTCAAATAAAAACCCTAGGGTCTAAATTGGCCCCACCCTGTGGAGTCATTGATTTTCCTTTTATGTGCACATCTTTTAATTTGTTGTTTTCCCTTAGCAAAAGCAACCAGTATTGTTATTTCACATGCACTATTTCAGATACAAATATGAACTTTGTGATATCACTTTCACAAGTGTTAGATTTTATATCTGCTTTTGTTTATAGTTTACAACATTTCTTGTTCCTTGTCTTGGAGAGTTTCTATATTCAGGTGAGCGATTTCAGGGCCATCATGGCCCTCTTGTTTTAATTTCCTTCCAAGTTTTAGCATTTCTTTGTCAAGTGATGGGTCAAACAGTACAAACAATTATTTTGACTTAGTTATCATCCAACTGATGTAAGCTTAAACTTTCAGGTCTATCTTCTACTAAAAATATGATATAATACATGATAATAGTCAACCTCGGTTGGCTCAAACTACCTCGGTTGGCTCCGAGTTTGAGCACGAAGTTTGACTGTATTTTATAACCAATCTAGGAATGGCAGAATAAATAAATATTTGCAAAACACAACCATCAATGCACTTTTATAAAAAAAACTTGTATCATGACTTTGGAATATAAGTGTTACCTTGACATTTTAGGTAGCGACCCAATTCATGCTCGTGACAAGTCATTATGTCAAACACATTTATGCACAATAATTTTTAAATCCATCCAGGAAAGAAAATATTGTTGACCAGACACAAATATTTCCATTGAAGTCAGAGTGTGACATTTACAATAACAGCTGTTTGCTTTCATGATAAGAACCATTGACTTCCATGGCAACCGAGGACTTTATAGCAGCCATCAACTTTTCATAGCAAAATGTAAATTTCCATAGCAACCAGTGACTTCCATAGCAAATATTAACTTTCTATTGCAATCTACCATGAATCTACCATTGAATTTCATAGCAGGCACTGACTCCCAAGGAAACCATTTATTTTGTATAGCAACCAGTGACTTTTTAGTAACTATTGTTTTCCGTTAGCAATAGCAACCAGTAACGTTTTTTACACATGCACTTTTTCAGATACAAATATGAACTTTGTGATATCAGTTTAAGATTTAGATTGTTTGTCTGCTTTGGCTTATAGTTCACAATATTACTTGTTCCTTATTAGGAGAAACTATATTCAGGTTAGCTATATAAGGTCCATCATGGCCCTCTTGTACATGTGAACATGTGCACTTTTCCATAAGATTCAATAGCTCCAGTTTATTTAAAGGTCATGACCTCTAGCAAGAGTGAATGATCTTATTATATCATTATGACTCACAATAAGTATATAATGATGAATTATTACAAATATGAACTTTTTGGTATAAGTTTAAGATTTAGATTATATATATCTGCTTTCATTCATACTTTACAATACTACTTGTTCCTTGTCATGAACAGTATTTATTAGGGGTGTCACGTTCTAACGGGTACAGTCGGTTTTTAGCTAAATACTGGTTAGAAAATTCAATAACCGGTCATCAAGGTTAGTATTTCACAAGAGGTGAACAAGTTTTAAATTGATTCTAAATTTTACCTTAGTTTCTTAAAGCAACATATATTTTAATTGTTCTCAACAATGTATTTTTTCTTTTTATTATTATTATTTTGTCTTGTTTATTTTCTTCTTTTCTAGACATACTTGGAAATAATTCAAGTAAGCATATAAGGTTACAACCAAATAACAGTTCTAATCATAGTCCAGAGAGTTTTCATCTTGATGCAAGACTTGAACCTACCTGTAAGTAATTTCTGACATTGATTTTTAGCTCAGGAAGCGCTGACTCTTATGTGATCAGAGCATATGTGCTCTAATGATGTTTGTTATGCTTAGTCATTCACATATTCTGTATTTCACAGGAATATTTATTCAGGAGCCGACTGTAAAATTGATTAAAATGCTTGCAGTGTGATACTGAAGATACATCTCATTGTGTAGATATGCAGTGCAAAAGAACCTTAACTCTGTCTTGTCTATTTTTGGAGTTATTGTCCTTTTTGGCTTGACTATACAAATATATGGAGAGCTGTCCTACTCGCCCCGGAGTGGGCATTTGCATACAGATTTCAGATTAAAGTTTTGGTGCAGTAAAATATTTTTCACTATAATTTTTTCATTTCTTAAGGTATCAACTTCAAACTTCAAATATATGTTTCTTATCATCAACCACATTTTTGTGACAAGGTTCATAACTCTATCACCAATATTTTCAGATTTATCTCCCCTTGAACTTAGAATTTTTCTTAAAATATATTATTTTTTACTTTTACTTCTTTATTTCCTAAGGGATCAACTTAATATATATGTTCATATATATGTACCTTATCATGAACCACATCTTATATGTTAAGGTTCATAACTCTAGCACCAATATTGCAAGAATTATCTCCCCATTAACTTAGATTTTTTTATTTGAAAAATATTATTTTTAACCATAACTTCTTTAGTTTTAAAGGTATATACCTCAAACTTGAAATACATATTCCTTATCATCAATCAGATCTTATTTGACAAGGTTCATAACTCTTGAAGCATTATTTCTAGATTTATCTCCCTTTGAACTTAGATTTTTCTTTAAGAAATATTATAACTTCTTTACTTTTTAAGGTATCTTCCTCAAACTTCAAATATATATTTCTTATCACACATGTTGTGTGACAAGGTCCATAACTCTAGTTTGACTATTATCAGAATTATTCCGACTTGAACTTGGAATTTATGTTAATAACTATAACTGCTTGTCATAAGAAGAAATATATTTATATTATAATTGATTTTTCTTTCATAGTTTTGTCTCCCTTACTGCATGCAGTATTTAATTTGTTGAGCTTCGTTGTCTCCTGTGACAGCTCTTGTTCAATTTTACACTGTGAACTTTGCCCGGAACATAACTGTGAAACTACAAGAAGTATCAACAAGAAACTAAATTTGAAGAAAGATCTCATGGAGTAGAGGTGAAGTGCAAAGAACAATAACTCTACCTTGCCTAATTTTGGAATTATTACACTTTGAACTTTCTTCAGGACATAACTCTGAAACTAAAAGATGTATACATGTACTTTTCTGTGTCCAAAACCTATTCGGGGAGCATCACCCGGTTCAGCCTGCTCTTATTTCCAGGATGCAGGCTTTCCACCGTCTCTGAAATTCCTAAAAAATCATTTTTTTTTCAGTTTGGCTAAAATCCCCCAAAAAAATGAAAAATTCTAAGAGGATTCATAAAAATGCCCTATTTTTATATGCCCGTTTGAAAAACGGGTCTTATTAAAGCTTCCCCTTGTGGGCGGCGTCCAATTTTGTCCACAGCATATCTCCTACACACGTGCAGAAATTTTAATGAAACTTCATAAAAATGTGTAACACTGAGAAGCTGTGTCCCATACATGAATCAGGTCTCTAGGTCAAAGGTCAAGGTCACACTTATAGATCATTGAAAAATCTTGTCTGCAACAAAACTTCTAGATGCATAGAGGAATTTCAATATAACTTGGGACAAACATTCACTATTGTAAGGCGGAGTATCGCGTAATATATGCAAGGTCAAGGTCACTAAAGATGATAAAAAATACAAAATTTGTTCAGAGGATACCTCTAAATGTTCACCACTATGAGAAGCAGTGCACATGCATGAATCAGGTCTCCGGGTTAAAGGCTAAGGTCACACTTAGAGGTCATTAAAAAATGCTTGTTCAGGGAATTTTAATGTAATTTTGCACAAATGTTTACCATTGTGAGTCTTATTGCGCACATAAATCAGGTCCCTGTTAGAAAAATCAAGGTCACATAGCAGGCTTTGGGCCATTACTTTGCAAAAGGAATGCATTTCATTACCATTACTTTAGGGTTTAGTGCAGTACCAGTACCATTACTTGATTTTGGGCAAGTAATGCAGGACAATACCATTACTTGGACCAAGTAATGCAGTATCATTACCGTCAAACAAAAGCAAGTGTTAAATAGTAATTTTATCTTGCATAAAGGGTTATGGTTGGTAGCAGGGCTTTTCATGAAGGTGTATAAAATATTATCATTTAATCCCCATTTTACACTGAACAATGTACATGCCTGCAAGTACAATAAATGCTTCAATTGATACCAATGTTATAAAAACAGTGCAGACATATAAGTGAAAGGGGACATTGAATTTTCATGATTTTATATTTCATTTGACTAAGGCCATCAAATTTTTATCTTGTGTTCTTTGGGTCATCCATACCATATATGATGTAGTAGGTTTGGTGAAGTAATGCATAGTAATGCACCTTCATTACCTGAATATTGCATCCCATTTCCATTACAAGTAATGCAAATTGACATGCAGTATCATTACATTGCATTACTCTTAAGAAAAGTAATGCATTCCTACTGCATAACCATCACCAGTATCATAACCCCAAGCCTGTCACATAGAGGTCAAAGTTTGTGTACGGGCACCATAGTCATCATTTATTGGCGTCCGCGCCGAAGCTTTATGGAATAAAATCAGATTTTGTGAAAGGGCGACAGCAACTTCTCGAGCCTTATAGTCGGTCATAATAAAAGCCGATCATTCCGATCGGTATGAGGGTGCTTGATTAAAAAAAATGTCTCGATATGTACAATGAATAGCGAACTGGAGAATTTCCCAATGCATGAAATAACCTTTTCCGTCTCTTCGTTTTTTTTTTTATTTATCATTTTGTAGTACACAGTGGGTTATTATGGTATGTTAAAATAGAATGATGAGTTGATGACCTAAACATTCTGAAAATCTATTTATAGAGGGATGTACTGCTATCGGTAATTCCCAGTCTCTCCCGGTCTATTTTGACCAGGATTTACTAGTGACCGGCGAATAGTATCACACGTTTATTGTCCGGTCTCTCCCGGATTTGGAGTAGATGTTTGATATTGTTACAGAACAGAACAGATATTTTACAGATAAATGAGCTTTTTTCCCAAAATGAATGTTTGTCACTTAGTTTGGTTACAATAATTAATAAACATAGATCAACTCTTAAATTTATTGATTATTATTATGCATATAAGGCCTTATATTACTAATAAACTCATTGTCATTGTCATTGTCATAAACATACAATTCGAAAAAAAACCAACAACACAACAATAGCATGTTTCATTTTATCTATATGAGATAAAAACAATAAATATGTACAATAATTGAGAAAAAGGTACATTTTTATCGTATAAATATGACACTATCAACTTTGAAACATTTTATTTATTTTGTTATTTGTGTTTAGTAAAGATGCCCAGGAATTATTCAAAGTTACAAATTAGATTTTTTGAATTATTTAATTGATTGATAATTTAAAAAAAATGATAAAGAAAAATACAAATGTACATGTACATGGTTTAAGAATAAGCAATATTATATATTGAAAGATTAAGCATAATTTACTGACTTTTTCCAGTTAAGTTTTGACTTATAATCGTCGGTCAATATCAAGGGGGTTAATCCATGCGCGCGCATCCTTAAAGTTCTGATACCGCGAACACCTCATCGGCCGGTATTTCGAAGAAAAACGAGTGGTGTGAAGAAATCAGAAAAGGTATGAATTTGATTTGTTTTGCAAAGAAGATGTCCTAACTTCTAGTTTTTATATACAAAATGTCTTGAAGTAACTCTTTCCTGTTTTGTCAGTATTTCGCGTTGAATGCGATTTTGATTCTGGATAGTGCGTACACCCGGCGTTGAAATGTTACAGAAAATGAGCAAATATCGATTAAACTGGCCGTTTTAAACGGCTGGAAGTTATTCTGTTGTAGAATCCTTTTCAAAAATATATTTTCAACCTTCGTTCCAATTCATTTGTACTAAACAAAAGTATTTAAACGCACTATTTACAGAAAACAGAGATTATGATATTGCGTACACTCTAAAAAAATCAAGATACTGCGTACACATAACTATGCAATTGATAGAAAGTACATTTTATCCGAAGCAGGCTAAGGTTTATAAAATGATAAAACGGATTGCATGGCAATCATTTAAAAACTACATCCTAGAAAATGTTTAGAATTAACATTGAACGATTTGCCGCATTTACATTCGTACTTGCGTTCTGAGGAATGACGCTGCATGTGTGTTTTGTAATGGTACTCCGAAAAAGCCACTTGACTACATATATCACATTTGTAGGGACCATTTTGCCGATGTCGTGCCTCATGCTGTCTGAGAGAAGATTCACTGGCAAAGAATTCACCACAAAATCGACACACATTCATTTTCTGAAATAAGATATTAATTTGACTGTAAAAAGTAATTTATTTTGAAATGTAGAGTATAAAAACATTATCAAGATAGACAATTATTCACCAGGTTTTAAATATAATAACCTAAACAAATTGCATAAATAAATGTTAATTCTAAACATTGTCTATGATGTAGAATTTTAAAGAATTCTTTTAAAAGGGACACCCATGGGCAATCCGCTTTGTCATTTTATAAACCTTAGGACTGCTTCGAATAAATAGAGGATATTAATTTTGTTTGTTTGCATGTAAGATTGAAATATAATTTCACACAGAGTGAAACACCAGATGCAATATTTCACGAGTGGCGTAGCCCACGAGTGACAATATAATAGATGGTGTTCACGAATGAAATATATTTTAATCTTATATGTAAAACAAATAAATTTTCTTTTTATTTCATGCTTTATAAGTGATTTTAAGTATTTTTTTACTGATCGTCGCGCATTCTCCTTTGTGACGTCATCACATCATGATGTCACATC